GAGAGAGAGAGAGAGAGAGAAAGAGAGAGAGAGAAAGAGAAATATTTTTTCAAGGGGTTGGGGGGTGATAATACACGTATACCGCTGCGTGTTGCTCTGCAAACTCGTTTAGCTATTGAATGATGAGTTTATAAATGTGAGACAGCGTGGTGGAATCAGGCTCTCGTCAAAATAATGAAATCGAAAAAACAGCAGTTTTCTCCCTGCTTAGCAATTTTTATCAAATTTTTATTTTTTTATGCTCAACACCTTTTATGTCCATTTTCAAACTCATTCCTTTGAGGATTTCACCTAAAACGTTGATTAAAGGAACACAAAAATAATTTACAGTTTCCATGGACTCTCCAGCTTTGGAATTTACAAAGATTTTGCGTCCATTTTCTGGCTAATTTTACCTGTTAAATTAGGTGATCCCCACCTCCCTCAATCCAAGATATCTCCACTTCTGTTGAAAATGGATGGGTAATTTTTTCCTTGAAAGCAAGACAAATGAATAAGCTTTAAGATGATACCAATAACTCAATATGACCAAAAACTGACGAGAGCCTGATTCTCTCACGCTGGCTTACATAATATTTGTTTGGTTATAGAGAAAACTCTCCTTGTCTATTCCAGAAACTGAACAAGGGGCAAAAACATTACCTTGCATTTTCCCAAAACAGTATTTTTCAGGATAGCCCTCTTGTTCCTAAAGCGACCAATTGCTCACCTGAGCTACGTGCATACGCCTGGAGGAGAAGAGCCCCCTGGCCTTGAGAGGGTGCATGACGACGATATACCGCTCCATAGCGATGACGGCAAGCAGCAGCACAGACACACAGAACGTGAAGCTTTCAGTGAAGTAGTACAACTTGCACATCACCTGCGGGGTTACGTTATAGAAGGGCATGGTGAAATAAAATACAGTAACATTCAATCAATCATAGTTCGTATTGACAATGAATAGAGAATACAAAACGACAATAATGCAGCAAAACATGAAAACAAATGATAACAATTAATAATGTTGTAAATGCTGTACTTTGAATGGGCCAGTATGCCTGAACAGTCGATTTAACCCTATCCGTATTGAAATTGAGGGCTAGCGAGGCATGGGTAGGCCCAGAACAACCTACTTAAGGAACCTAAACAAATGGGTAACAGGGAAAGATCAGGAAAACGTAGCTTTTTTTAAGAGCATCCGAGCAAAGGAATGCATGGGGAACTATGATCGCCGATGTCTGTCGCAGATCTGGCATTGGATGATGATGATGATCCATACGACGTGGGGAACTCTGTGCCACTACTTACCCTATCCGTTGATTGGGTTTTATTATCGAATGCATACAACGTGGGGAACCCGGTGCCACCACTTTCCAAAGAAGACATTTTCTCGTTAATCTGATCCGTATGCTTTGCATAGTTGTCTGTAAAAATGATTTTTTGAGAAATACTGAAAGTTTCAAAGAGATCTTCGCATTATACGTATTCTAAAAATTGAAGAATACAACCGTAGGGTTACAAAATGACGGATAGAGACAAATCATAATTTACTTTGAAGCGCCTAGAGTCATCAGGGAGTAAGCGCTATAGAAGGGCACTTTACTTCTGTACTTACTCTGTCCCTCTCAGTCTGTCTGTCTATCTGTCTGTCTGTCTGTCTGTCTGTCTGTCTGTCTGTCTGTCTGTCTGTCTGTCTGTCTGTCTGTCTGTCTGTCTGTCTCTCTCTCTCTCTCTATATATATATATATATATGTATATATATATATATATATATATCCCGTCAGGTATATAAGGCGAAGAAGAAGTACACTTTACTACTTTACTTACTCTTTCTCTATACCGCCAGGTACATGAGGCGAAAAATAAATGCACTACAATTTTACTAGAGTTATTATTTTTACTATTATCATTATCATTATTATTATTATTATTATTATTATTATTATTATTATTATTATCATTATTATTTTTATTATTATTGTTATTATTATTATATTTAGCACTATCTTTATTATCATTATCATTATCAATATCATTAGTCTTCTTCTTATTTTTATTTTTATTTTTATTATTATTACTATTATTATTTTATTATTATTATTATTATCATTATTATTATTATGACTATTATTATTATTATTATTATTATTACTATTACTATTACTATTACTATTATTATCTTTATTATTACTATCATTATGTAATTTATTTTAGATGTTTGATGTCCCTACAAACAGAGCTTAGATTATTCAGGAGAGGGGCTGTTTTTCATTCGCTAACCCGGGCTGAGAGATATACAAAGGTGGAAAAACAGACCCGGGCTGAGAGAGATACAAAGGTGGAAAAACAGACCCGGGCTGAGAGAGATACAAAGGTGGAAAAACTGACCCGGGCTGAGAGAGATACAAAGGTGGAAAAACAGACCCGGGCTGAGAGAGATACAAAGGTGGAAAAACAGACCCGGGCTGAGAGAGATACAAAGGTGGGAAAGTCGACCTGGGCTAAGATGGATGCAAAGGTTGAAAAACTGACCCAGCCTGAGAGTGGTACAAAGGTGAGAAAGTCGACCCGGGCTGAGAGGGATGCAAAGGTTGAATAGCCGACCCGGGTTGAGAGGGATGCAAAGGTGGGAAAGCACTAGTTATAATGAATTGTAGTCCGTCCGTCTTCAATCACCAACAACATTCAGAAACGATGGTTACTAACATCAGCCAGCCTTCTATTGTTATTAGATCTTGATCTAGACTAGAAAAAAAAAAGAATTTGTTAACTTCGGCATAATAAAACGCTTTATTGCTGCTCGAGCGCCAATAATCAGTCTTTTGACCATACGATGAAAAGTATTTTTATAAACCCACAATATAATTGCATAAAAATTGCTTTAGGATGTAAAATATCATTATACTGTCATCAGAAGACTTATTTTTGGTAGCTAAAATCGATATTAGCTAGTCTGGATTTTCCATAGTCTGTGATTCAACAACAACAACAAAAAAGAAAAAACAAGGGGAGCGAAGACATCCTATGACAGAGATCAAAGGAGCGGAAGGATGATATGTTGATTAAAAACCTTCCCTGTTAGCGAGACAGGTTATCGATTGGGTCTATAATGGAGAGCCCGGGAAAGGCTGACGTTGTCATCAAATGCCAAACGGGGCAGAAAGTGTGGCTCTAACAGGGACTTGACAGGCATTTTCGCCTCAGGAACTTTGCCGACCGTTTATTTTTAATTTTTGTTTCTGTTTTTGTTTTTGCGTATCACAAAATTGAGAGGGTTCAGTCCCCCCCCCCCCCCCTCCACAACCTTAAAAAATTTGAAATTAAAAATAAATGTATCAGTCTATAAAATATTCAACAAAACCCCAAACACATACACTTACACACATGCACACACACACATGCATACACAAACAAGCACACACACACGCACTCAAACACGTACACACATACACACATGCCACATACACACGCACATACACACATACACCACACACACACAAAGACCACTTACACACACACACACACACACACACACACACACACACACACACACACACCCACACACACACACACACACACACACAACACACTCACACACACACATCTTAAAACGTTGAAGCCTGTGAGCATCTATTCCACTATATTATAGTAACGTCTAAGGAAGTTGGTCAGTTCTGGAACTGGGTCAGCTAATGAATACTTAATCGACCAAAATCGGTTTGATAATATAATTATTTTCTACTAACTGGTGGCTGGAAGTGACCCGTGACAAACAAGCGTGACCTCCATTTGTGAGACGTGCTGCCAAAATGAGTTACTTCTCGCAATGCACAAATGGAGGCATTGGCCAAAAATCCACACGAAAGACTAGGGTCAAATTTGTAGATTTTCTATTGATGGCATATTATTCTTTAAGTACAATATGCCTTTTATTATTTCATACTTAAAAATTGTCAAAACTTCACCTATAAGCGGGATGTATCTTATTTCCATAGAGCTCGAATCAAGAAGCAGCTCACTTTGTCAGCACACTTCACAATTGCTCGCTCTTTTTCTAATGAAATTGACACTATTAGACTCTGTCATTTGCACTTTTTTCTACTAATCAGATGGCGTCAATTTCATATAAATGGGCAAGGGGGAAAAAAGAGTCGACTCTCGAAACTTTTCTTTCAGGGTGTGAGAAGCGAAAAGACTGTACAAAGACTTGGGGAGTAGAAAGAAAACTCTTACCTCAATAATTATGATTTTTCCCCTTGTTTTATTATTTGTTCTTTCAGCTATTTCCCAGATATTGTGCCACACGTTTTGGCCAAGTTTTAATCGTGTGGAGGGAGTTCTTGTACTTGCATCTTCCACAGCCGTCATTTCTAACCTCTAGTATGGGATTCATTATTCCATTGTTGTGTGTCCTCCTTTTACTCCGCTTTCTTGAAATATTACCCGCCTTTTTTGTATCGATTTTCTTCTTCTAAATTTCAGGATAGGACAATCTTAGAGCCACACTGCTGTCTTTAAGGCAGTGTTTGGATTGTCAGGAAAATAAGCAGAGATGATGACAAGAGAGAATTTTATTATTTTTCAAAAGTAATTCGAGGTCTATGTAACTTAAATTTATCGAAAAGGAGGAGCAAACCACACAACAGCACTTGCCAACCACCCACCTAGAGGTTACCCTGGAACAAATGTGTACGTCCGAGAGTAAGATTTGTTAAGCTGAGATTTTTGTGCTAAGCAAGCAGAAGTAGAAATCAAAGAAAAAGATGTTGCAAAGTATACATATGTGCAAGTGCATGTGTGTGAGTGAGTTTGTATGTGTATGTGTGTGTGTGTGTGTGTGTGTGTGTGTGTGTGTGTGTGTGTGTGTGTGTGTGTGTGATTGAAGGTGGGAAAGATAAAATTAAAGAGAGAGAACGAACGAGAAAGAGAGAGTGAGATATATATATAGAGAGAGAAAGAGTGAGAAAGAGAGAGATGAGAGAGACAGACAGACAAACGGACGGAAAGACAGGCAGACAGACAGACAGAGAGACAGACATAGATAAACCAAACCAAACCAAAACAAAATAAAACCACAAACATATAGAAAACAAATGTGTTTCTATGTCACACACACACACACACACTCCGCAAAGTATGTATTGAATTTTAAAAACCCTCGAGGTCTCACGTGCGTTAAGTAATCCCACTCTCTCTCTCTCTCTCTCTCTCTCTCTCTCTCTCTCTCTCTCTCTCTCTCTCTCTCTCTCTCTGCCTCTCTCTCTCTCTCTCCCTCTCGATCTCTCTCTCTCTCTCTCTCTCTCTCTCTCTCTCTCTCTCTCTCTCTGTCTTACCTTTCCAAGCAGCCACCCAGGATACAGAAAAGTGAGCAGATTGGGTAGGACGCAGATAAGGCCAACACTGAGATCAGCTGCCGCGAGGTTTGCCAGAAAGAAGTTAGTCCGAGTCTTCATTCGGGCACTCTTTGTTGTCACTATGAGCATCATTATGTTGCCTGAGGAGAGAAAAGATAATAATAAATTATTATGTTTCGTTTTAGTAGAGTTTTAAGACACCTACAACACAATAAGGTCATATAAGTGCCGAAGATTAGAGGCGTTACAAGAGAGTAACAAAAAAGGAGGAGAGATCAGGACGATAGATGTTTGATAGGAAATAAGGAGCAAACCACACCAGAGCACCCGCCATCCACCCACATGTTGTGTTTAGTAGTTGTTTCCATTTTAAAAATATAATACTTTCTTTGCCCAAGGATTTTGCCAAATGAATAACTTAATAACGAGAACAGCAAGGGTATCAACATTATGTGTAACTATAACAATAACATTTACAATAACAACAGCAGCAAAAAGCAATCTACAATTATCTCTCTCTCTCTCTCTCTCTCTCTCTCTCTCTCTCTCTCTCTCTCTCTCTCTCTCTCTCTCTCTCTCTCTCTCTCTCTCTCTCTCTCTCTCTCTGTGTGTGTCTTTATCTCTCTCCCTCTTTCCCCCCTGCTCTCTCAATCACTCTATCAAGGTAGCATGCTTTGTTATTTACTAGAGGTGCTATTCAAAGTCGAGTTAGGAAACCCAACCCCCACCCCAACATAACACGACCTTTTTTGTCAGCCACATAGAATTATCCAGGGCAGCTTTGGCGGGATTTGATTGGTTCTGAGATCTGAGTTTTTCCTTGAGCGATCTTGGTAATGTGAGAAAAAATATAGATTGGCCAGAGGTGAATGGCTCTACAATCCGGTACATTGGATTATACCAGTGCTCCATAACCCACAGTACATTGGATTATACCATTGCTGAAAATTGCATGGAAGGTTTAGCTTCAATTGTACATGGTACTTTCCATTATTGCTCCCATCGGGGTGTCCGGCTCCTACATATTTAATGCCGTAGGTTCCACTACACCACATTCTGATAACTGCAGAATTCCTTTGGGTTTTTCTTCGTAACGTAGTAGAGGTGCAAAGACCGCAGACAATTTGTATTATAAGCAGAGTTAATTAAGGGACAGCGGAGGGAGCAGCTTGTCAGTCCTAATTTGGCGAATGTTCGTGAATTCTCTCCGCTGGTGATCTCGATCATGGTCTGCTTGTTTCTTCCAAAAGCTTTACAACTTTTATAAAGTCCAAATGCTTCCTCCGGGGTCATTGAGCGCGAACATTCACTCGTGTTGTAAGTGTATATGCCCGCTAAAAATCTATTTAGTCAAGGTTGAATTCAATCAACACTTGCCACGTATCCCACAATAACGTTTTCTCTGTCCAGGTCTTTTGGTACACTACAATCACGACTGTTTGACCCCTTCGCCTCTCAGTACTTTGCTAATCCCACAAACAATTTTCCTAAATTGATTTATGACGGTAAATGTGAGGATTCACTTCTTTATAATTAACTCCGACACAGACGTCTACGTTCAGTCCCTTCTTATCACCCTCTGATTGCTTCATACATCTCCCCAACAGCTATGCTATTGGCCTTCATTATTTTGAGCAAAAAGAAAAAAAAATATTCCTTTCATTTCTCATCGTTGTTTTCTATTTTCAAAACGAAACCTTACTTTATCTAGGTGTTAGACCATCTTGAAAAAATTGCTTTGGGGAGTCATTTTGATGTACGGTGAGGCAGCGGGATGAAATCAAGCGCTCGTCATATAATACAATTGAAGAAACGGGCATCTCTCGAGGTTTGGCAATTTTTATTTTTAATGTTTTTTGGCTTGACTCCTTTCATTTATATTTAAAACCACATTTCTTTGTGCATTTTTCCTCAAAGCTTTGAAAAAAGGCACAACAATTGTACATTATAAGTTTCCAAGGACACTTCTCCAATGGAAGTCACCAAATTTTGGTTGCCTCCCCCCCCCCCCCCCACTAATTTTACCTTTGAAACCAAGCGACTCCCACCTCCTTCAATTGCAAATATATCGACTGCTATTCAGGAAAGCTGGATACTTTTTCTCCAAAGATAGACAAATGAACAAGCTTTAAGAAGATATCAATAACTCCATAGGTCCAAAAATTGACGAGAGCCTGATTCTACTACGTTCTGACACTGCCATACATCTCATTTCAGCCACCATATTATAATAGTATCTTGGCATCATCATATCTGCCCTTAAAAATCTCCAGCTTCTTTTTCTGGTAGGTTGCACACCAAAACTATGACATAAACTGACTGGCTGTGCCTGTGTACTCTGTGGTCTCAGGACAGTGACCCTTAAAAAAAACCCAACAATAACAAAAGGATCACGAGAAGCAGTAGTCTAGTACAGCAGCAGGTACTTTTCTTAGATGTATAATTAGCACAGCGGTGTTACAGCAGTAGGTAGCGGTGTCTGTGTTGAAACTGTCAGGCAGTGTCAGGCGCTTCCTTGTCGCTCGCAAGAGACCCCATGTGAGGGGAATCTTTTACGGGGAGCCCACTACAGATGGGATCGGCAGATCGGGCCAATCGTCCGACTCGGTTGCCTCAAAAACAAACGTGTTTGTTTTCAGTTTCAGGCGATCGAGTAGGGCGATCGGCACGATCCAGCCGTAGTGGGCACCCCTTATGTGGTCGCTTTTAAGCACAAGGGGACTATCCCGAAAAATGCTGTTTTGAGAAAATCAAAGGGGGACATTTTTGGACCCTAGTTCAGTTTCTTTAAAAGACAAAGGAGAGTTTTCTCTATAACCAAACAAGAAAACCAAATTTCTCCTACAAATAGGGCAATGCCCACTTTTGGAGTAGGTCAAGATTTATGGAAACCCCCGAAATCTGGCTTAGCCCATTTGTCCTTAACCCTATCCGTACGTGGAGTTTTACTATCGTATCCATACGACATGGGGTACTCTGTGCCACCACTTTCCAAAGAGGAAATTTACTCGTTAGTCCGATCCGTACGCTTTGCATAGCATTCTGTCAAAATATTTCTTTGAAAAATACTGAAAGTTTCAAATAGATCTTCGTACTAGAAGTTTTCTAAAATGTGAAGAATACAACCTCGGGGGTACAAAATGACCCCAGGGCGTACGGAGAGGGTTAAAACCGACCAATTGTGGAGCGTCACGGTCTTTGTGCTGGCGTACTGTAGTATCATGGCGTGGCCTTGACTCGATGGGTACAAGCCAACCTCCGAAATGACCTAATGTGTGTCAACAGGGGATTTAATAAAAATCTACATGAGAAAAACCCCCAACTAAAAAACACGGTAAATGTTATACGGATATTGTTACTATTCATTTAAACAAACCAGGGATATGTGGGTAGTTAGCGGGTGCTCTGGAGTAGTTTGCTCCTGCTTTGCTATAAAAAATCGATCGTCTCTAGCTCCCTTGCATCTTTTTTGTGTTCGTTACATTCTTGTAACACATCTAATTTTCGGAACTTATATGACATTGCAATGCAAGTGCCGTAAAACTCATACTAAAACTAAAACTAAAAAACCAAAGAGATATACAATTATTTTCTCAATTTTTCCAACGGCAGAATGTTTCAGTCGATTCAGTCCTACTTGTTCAGGATCCCCCCCCCCCTCCCGAGAGTAGCAGGAGCGCAGAAGAGTAAATATTGATCCCCTAAACATACTCAAAAAAATGACAGAACTAGTTTTTCGATTGAACACAGACAGAAAAATCAGCTCCGCGACCGAAAAAGAGAGACGGCAGAAAGAGAAGAAAGACCGAACTATCTGCTGAAGAGAACCAAGTTAAATGAGCTGATAAAGAATAAAAATGAGCTGATAAAGAAGTAAAATGATCTGATAAAGAAGTAAAATGATATTACAGAAAGCTAAATAAACGATTACTCTTTTTACCACACTGGGAAACCTGTGTCTATCAATATTTGCCCCAACATCTTTCTGATTACCGATGTATGACTTGGATCCTCAAGCAGTTTACGAATTCGATTTTGCATCAAAATGTTTCGAGTGCCCTCTTTGGACCCAAGAGTACTGAGTGCTTTCGCATTCCTTTTTCCTGCGGTGGGTTTTTAAAATCGTAATGATATTGTAATTATTGTTAGGGCATGACCCCGCTTACGGAAAACGTGCTATACAAAGAAAACTGAACTTAGCTGAATATTTCGAAGTGAAAGATGAACAAAGATTTTGGTTTCCTGAAAGAGAAGCGGCTAGACACAATGACGGATATACAGTGCTGCGAAAATACAAAATTGAGAGGTAACTATGGAGGGAAAGAGAACAATGGAATTGCAAAAATACCTCTCATCATTAATTGGGTACACACACACACACACACACACACACACACACAC